TGTTCGTCATAGGACGGACGAAAAATCAGCACGTCTTCACCTGAATCGAAGGAGATTGCCTCGGAAACAGCGTCAGCATGAATGTTCCAGTAAAGCCAATCGACAGCTGGTCAAGCAGGAGATTGCCTCGGAAACAGCGTCAGCATGAATGTTCCAGTAAAGCCAATCGACAGCTGGTCAAGAGGACTCAGATTGCCTCGGAAACAGCGTCAGCATGAATCTTCCAGTAAAGCCAATCGACAGCTGGTCAAGAGGAATCTGCGATTGCCTCGGAAACAGCGTCAGCATGAATCTTCCAGTAAAGCCAATCGACAGCTGGTCAAGAGGAATCCACCGTTGCCTCGGAAACAGCGTCAGCATGAATCTTCCAGTAAAGCCAATCGACAGCTGGTCAAGAGGAATCCGCAGTCCTCGGAAACAGCGTCAGCATGAATCTTCCAGTAAAGCCAATCGACAGCTGGTCAAGAGAAATTCGCCGTTGCTCGGAAACAGCGTCAGCATGAATCTTCCAGTAAAGCCAATCGACAGCTGGTCAAGAGGAATCCGCCGTCTTCTATGATGTTCGTCATATGACGGACGAAAGCTTAGCACCTTTTCACCGGAATCGAAGAAGATTACCTCGGAAATGCATGAATCTTCCAGTAAAGCCAATCGACAGCTGGTCAAGAGGAATCCGCCGTCGTCTTCTGGTGGAATCGAACTTCGAATCTCTTCACCCACATGAATCTTCCAGTAAAGCCAATCGACAGCTGGTCAAGAGGAATCCGCCGTCGTCTTCTGGTGGAACCGCCTTGCTCTGATGATTTTCGCCATATGATGGACGAAAGCTTAGCACCTTTTCACCTGAATCGAAGGAGATTATCTCGGAAATAGCGTCACCGGATGACGGACGAAAGCTTAGCACGTTTTCACCAGAATCGAAGGAGATTGCCTCAGAAACAGCGTCAGCACAAATCTTCCAGTAAAGCCAATCGACAGCTGGTCAAGAGGAATCCGCCGTCGTCTTCTGGTGGAACCGACCTCCGACGCACGAAACTAAGCAAGTTTGCACCGGAATCGAAGAAGATTACCTCGGAAACAGCGTCAGCATGAATCTGCCCGATGTCCGTCATATGACGGACGAAAGCTTAGCACCTTTTCACCGGAATCGAGGGAGATTGCCTCGAAAACCGCGTCAGCATGAATCTTCCAGTAAAGCCAGCACGGGTTCACCGGAATCGAAGGAGATTGCCTCGGAAACAGCGTCAGCATGAATCTTCCAGTAAAGTAATCGACAGCTGGTCAAGAGGAATTCGCCGTCGTCTTCTGGTGGAACCGACCTTCGAATCTCTTCACCCACACTTCTACT